GGAACCACTGTTTCGAAGGAAAATTAGACCAGTGTTGATAGATTCATCCTTCCATATTTGAGAATTACTTGTCCATAACTAATGTTGTTTTAACAAGTTTCGACCTAATATATGTTTGAGCTACGGCTTCTTAACTTCAAATCTCAGGATTCGTTACAGTCGAATGTCAACGAACACTTACTATTTTTGTTCAAAATCATAAAATGCACGAAAGTTTTGAATTTTCTTTCAATTAAGAGTAAAGTAAGGAATTAATGGGATATAGTTGCTCAGAAAATTAAAAATTAGTCTCAACTCTACTTAAACCAGCTACTATCTCATTAAGAAATGTAATGTATTGTTTCTTGAGGCATAACCTAGTGGTGCAAAAGATATGAGTGATGTTATCTCACGCCTTGTTGGCAGTCGCAGTGTGAGGATTCGATTCTTGAGACATGAAATTAGACTTATTGTAGACGCAGTGTACAAGTAATTCTTATTCCCTGACCCGTTGGGACACATACCGCGATTTATCTCCCTCACAAAATTCTAGGGATGGGACGATAAAGACCCTCAAAATTGGAGTTCAACCTTTTTTTTTTTTTTTTTTTTATTTAAGAAATGTTATGAATTCTATTATTACTTAGTTTTACATGAGCTACATAGATATCATTCTACGTCATCCATATAGATGTCAATCGGCCGTAGGATCCCGACATTCATAATAACGGTTCAGATCTTGTCAAGCTTCTCGGCCTTGACTACAAGGTTGGCCTTGGCAATGGCGTCCCTCCCGAACTGCTTGTAATCAAACGTACAATCATGTTGTTCAGGATACCTATGGGATTCACATAACATGACCTCACACCTGCACTTGAATCCCGTCAGTCCCACGCGCTTCCGGCAAGTTGCACACCTATTAGGTTTAGTCTGCTGCAGCGGTGGATTAATTATTGAGTTAACAGATTCTGGACGAGAAAATGAGGAGGATTTCGATTGATTGAGTGTTTTTTCCATGGCGATTTTGGCCTCTCTCATTTCCTCTTCCTTGACGCAATAATCTCTATAGCACTTTGAACACAGATTAAGCGTTGTAGGGCTACCAAAAGAGCCACAATTATTTGCACACAGTTGATGTCCTCCGACAGGCTCTTGCCATTTTTGTTCCTCCGCCATCACAATCCAATCAAAAACCAAAACAATAATATGACTGATTGATACAAATTTCACAAAATATCAATCGATCGATCAATCCCACAAATAATGTGAAATATGTAAATGAAAGCAGAAACAGAATGAAAAGAACAAGTTTGGTGGTGCAGAGAAGAAAGGGGTAGAAATTGGGTTTGGAAATTGGTGACTTGAATTTGAGGAAATTTATTGGAATAGGGTGTGAGGTTTCATAGCAATGCGTTGAAGCTACGCTAAGGAGACGGCAGGTGTCTGCTTTCGGATTTCTTCAAGGACACGAAATCACCGTCTCAAGGTTAATGGCTAAAATTATATTACACAATAAAAATTTAAAATAAGAATAACATTTTTTTTTTTTGGTTGATATCCAGGTATCCACCTTACAATGACTAAATCCTGAAATCTACACCTTGGCCCCTTAAATTGCAGACAGATTAAACCGCAGATTGTGCCCCAAACTAATCAGTGCTCAAGTGCCCCCCAACTGATCTGCCAAAGTGTCAAGCAAGTCGTTTCCCATCTTTGCACCTTGTCTTCCAATAGAGCTCCTACCTTCCAGGATATTATTCATCTTATACAATACTGTTTATGTATATGACTACAATGAACAATGCTTTATGTACATCATAGCATATAATTTTGTATACACTTCGCCACGTGTCAAGTTCCAATTTGACAATTTTAAAAAATAAAAGAAAAGAAATGAGACTTTCCATCAATCACACGTTACCAACTTGGATGATGCACACAATGATGTATTAAACAAGTGTACAAGTGGCTTTATTCGACTACAACTTAAATATAGAATTTGTAATGACAGATCAATTAATATCACATCACAGATAAAATTTTACATAGATGGGCAAAGTTTCAAAAAAGTTGAGTTTTTATTCTAGCCACAAGCTGGGGACCAATCATGCAATTCTTTAATAAATTTCACATACCAGTGTTGAAAGGGAAAAGATCGAATATGCCCGAAACCTGAAATGAATTTGTGATCTACTGAGTTCAATCAAGTGAGCGATGACTTTTCTGGGCTAAGGACGAAGCTCGTGGAGTACTCTAATCGTATATAGAATACAGCGTTGAAATAAAAGAGAATATATAGAGTTACTATACATTTACTTCCCTCATAATTTATTTTTATTACCAAAATCCAAATTAGAACGCAAGTTTTAAGACATGACCCTAAGACCCTACTTAACGGACTTACAATAAAGCCAAATAAAGGCTCAACATTTATCACTTTTGACCAAGAGATATATGTAATAAAATATCCCCTTTATCAACATAAAATTTCGAGACATGAGCTAGATTTCAATTACTCGTGAGCCGCTCCAATCAACGATGGATTCTCATCTTCAGCATCAAATTCCTGCTCCACACCTTTTACTTCGGGTACATAATGCATTAGCATGTTCTCGATGCCAGATTTCAGAGTAACGGACGAGCTAGGGCAGCCACTGCATGCTCCTTGCATCCTTAGTTTAACTATTCCCGTGTCTGGATTGAATTCTCGATACTCGATGTCCCCACCATCATCTTGTACAGCTGGACGGATACGAGTCTCCAACAGTTCTTTGATCATTGCAACAGTCTCTGAATCATCCTCATGGATGGCTGTGTCCATGGAAGCTGCAGTGTTTGAATCCAGGAATAATGGCTGCCCCGAGGAATAAAAATCCATTATTGCTGCAAAGATTTCAGGTTTCAGAAAATCCCATGAAGTGTCTTCCGACTTAGTCACAGTTACAAAATCTGATCCGAAGAAAACCCTAGTAATTCCTGCATTGATAGAGAATTGCATCAGAGCAATTTAAATGGATTCTTGACATGGGAAAGGGGGAAACTAAAATGAAAGGTTGAGTATCATTTAGTACAATCACAAGATTACTTCCAAGAAATGGAAACTTCACAGGCTCGTGGGATCAGCTGAAGTTGAGAAAGATGCATAGAAATACATATATTACGAAAATGAGATCACAACCAAAGAAGTAAAGCACAAGTCACACATTTAAGTTCAGGAATCGAAGCCACTTAACAAAACAGCTTTTTCTCAAAAATATTCTTTTTCCCACATTTTCTTTTACAAGCAACACCATCTAACTTTGATTTTCCAAAACAATAGTTGATAATAAACATCTAGATGCCAACGACAAGTTTTACCTATCAATTGCAATTTTTTTTTTTTTTTTTTATAGGTAATCAGAGAATTTTATTCCTTAAAAGAGAGTACACGGAATACAATCACTTTAGGCATGAAAGGAACAACATGAAGTTAGGCAACCCTACAACAGGATTTTTAACCACTGCATTAAACCAAGTATACAAAGTCAAGTAAAATAATTCTCTTATCTGCTCTAATGTCTTTGTTTGATCTTCGAAACATACCAAAAAAGACAGGAGTATGCCATACATCAAAAAAGTAGAGATCCTTATTTCATCACAGCGGCATAAAGGCATGATTTGGAAAACATGAACTGCCTTGAGAATACGTTAAAACCTACCCAACTCTTTTAACTGATACAGACAAAAACATCCTCCAAGATAATCAATTTCATCATGAGAATAAATTATAGTGCCCACCAAAATCCGTTGTGAATGACAATAGGAGACCTAGAATTCATTCTCTTTCTTGGTTTCAGCGCAAGAAATTGGGATGTCCAAGTAAATACCTCTGCTTGAATACAAACTAATATAAAAAGAATAACTAAGAAATTGAATATAATCATTCACGAGATACCCTAATCACTATTATGCCATAAGATATATAATAGTGTGGCCATCATACAGAAAGCTTCTAAAAGACAGTCGTATACCCTAGTTGTTGCAAGGCTCTAAAATTCTACTTACAAAACAGCACAATTTCCATCTTATTTGAAACATGGATTACACACACATTAAGCCTATCTTCCATGTGACTCCAAATCACTGTAATCTATTTGCATACTCGATGCAATGCCAATGAAGAGGCTGGGGTGAGATTGTTGGGAACATACTTGTACACCTTTGACAATCTTTAAAGGTCCATAAGTCCAAGTAATGCTAAGTTATAGTGTAGAATCGATAATATCCAATACAGAAACAATAAAATGATAGGACTTTTTAAGACGATCTACTAGTTTTTAATTAGGGTGAGAGTTGAGAAGCTTATATAAGCAACAAATGATGCGTTAAATGGAACAGCCAACAAATGCTGCATAAACAGGTGCCTCCTATAACATTTTTCGATTCACACATGCTCTGATCGCTAACAGTACTTTGGTGCTAACTGTCAAAAACTCTATTTAAACCAAGGTTGACGACCCTATCCAATGCAATCTCTGGAATGCCATCAAGCAACCACATATTGAGAACCTGATGTTACTACGAGCTTTAACTGTTCAAGTACTCATAGTCAGACTGAATTGCAGAATTAAACTCAGCAAGATGCAAAGGCCAGAAATAGATTCCAGTCACAGGCAGAAATAGATTCCAGTAACAGGCTGAGCAATTTATTATTTTCAGCGGATAGTAGGTAGAGATCAGAAAATACACTCAAATTCATTGGACTAAGGGGCTATAGTTCAAGCCTAGAAAAAGCAACACACGCATTACAATTTTCGGAAGATGCAAGTCATTGAACCTCTTTGGTTTCTACATTAAAAAATACATGCAGGTGCACAATTCACCTAGAATTTAACAATTAAGCAAGCTAATCAGGCCATAATTCTGGTGGATGATCACCTATGATTAAGTAACTATTGATTTATAGAAAAGGAAAAGTCTAAATAAGAAAGTAAACCTCCAATCTTTTCAGTTTTCAAATAATAAAGTTTCCCAAACCCTAATATATCAGAGTTTGTAACAGAGGAATTTACTGCTCAGTATCACCACACCCTCCCGCAAAATACCCTTCCTCAGATGATCCATAACCAGTAGTATGTTACAGAGCCTATGTGCCTCTACTAGGTGTTTCTTTCCTTTTGTCTGACTTCAAATTCCTAAATGATTTCTTCCAAGAACTTTACTATAGCAAATATCTGCATATGCGGGTCAAAGGAGATCACATTGCTCTTCAACACATTGGAGGCTTCGTGCGTATACCTTTCTCCAATGAGATAGTAGAATACACAAAGTTTTCTCAGTGGCAATGAACTGTGCTCCATTGAATTTGGATCAAATGAAATTAAATTCAAATTCATAAGCAATAATTGTAATTAAAACTTCAAGGTTCCTATACCGCACTCTAAATGCAGCCAAGGGAACAGCAACTTGCTGTTGGTAACAGAAAAGTTAGGCATTCAGATGCTTAGCTAATTAAAAGCTTAATGAGGTCATATGAATGCACATAGCAACCCAGCAGCTAGCAGCCTATCACCAGTTGCATTTATCAGACTGAATAATTAAGAAATCTTATGGAGGCAAATGGTTTATTTGCCAAAGATATACGTTTGATGGGGCAAGTGCCAACAAGTACTTACACATGCCCAAGAAAATGAATTCCTCCCAGCTCATGGTATATTGATGAAGAAATAAAGAAAACCATACTAAACATTTAGTTATGACAATCGAATCCAATGTTAAACAGCCTTGCTTTGAGATAATTCTTCAAAGTTCAATTTTTCCCTCCATCTTTTCACATGGTTAATTAAAGAGTAGAGACTATAGAGTAGAACTACTTTTTGCTCTTACTAGGTTGTGCAATATATATGCTCAAGCATTCACTTTTCTAGTTAGAGACCAACGTCTCGATTTATCCCACTTTGCCATGTCAATTAGTGGATTCATCATGAAGAGAAACTGGGTGGTCAATCTCGCAAGAGACTATTTGGTGGGTTGTAAATTCATTAGAAGTGACTTTGATGTTGTCTGGTGTTAGTTTCTTGGACCTTTCTCATCACATTTTAAAGTGAGGGCATCTCTTCTGGGCCTACGATCCATTACATGCCTAAACAAAGCTGGTTAACTGATCTCTACCAAATAGCACACTTTTCTAAATAATCGACACTCTTTCCCTCTATCAGGAACCAATAAACTCAACAGGGTAAAAATCAAATAAGGTGGTATTAAACTCCCAACTAATAACCATATTCACTCAACAGCTTATCCAGGAGGATATAAGCAAACCCATACTACAGCTCTTGTCATTCCATATTATTTTCCTACCGACAGCTTCTGATTTGAGCATTGACGGACCTACATCATCAAATCTGGCACACTCTGAAGCCTGTTTGCATACATGATATAAGGAAAAAACTGATTGACAGAAAATGATATCAAGCAGGCTTGACTAGAATTCAAATACAAACATTCTCACATGTCTAATATAAATTAGGACTATCTTAAGTTCTAGTCTTTTTTGAAAATTGCAAAAATACTTCCAATCTTCCAGTTACCCAAATATGTTCATAGAAATCAACCTACTTTGACAACCAATACAGTTAGTGTGAAATTCTGTAAACCACTAGCTAAGAAAATCCTTCAAGAAAAATGAAAAGAAGATTCAGGGATTATGATATTCAATTCAACATGGAAGTCGCAAGAGTTAAGCTAATAACTTTCGTACTACCAAGTTTCACAAAAGTCAGATTCACAAAAAAATTAAAAAATAAAAATTATATTAAATTAGGAATGATGACAGAATCCCAAAATCACATCAACGAGAAGTTCATAGAATTGGGCTAAAGGTAATGCTTACCATCAATTCCGAAGAGGGATTTCGCCAGTGGAGAATTCATGGCAGAACGTGCATTTGGAAAATCCGCGCTCCCCGCCTCCATAACAGGCTTTCCAGGATAAAACATAAGTGATGAGGGATTAGGAGTTGATTGCGTCTGGATAAACATGGTCCTTCTCTGCCCTGTCCACAGCAAACAATAAACTGCAATCAAAACAACTACAACAAAAACCAATCTCATTTCCCCTTCCCCTCACATAACTAGTATAATTAAATAGCTTGAATCTCATCAAACTAATATCAGAATAATATCCTCATAAACTCACAAACTCCAAAGATTTTTAACAACAAAATGTAGATGTTACCAGAACAAAAAAGAGTCGAAATTGAGGAAACTAACCTTGGAAATGATTCCATTGAAAGGGGCGTAAAGAAGATTTCAACGAGGCTAAATCGGGATGATTGCTTGAAGAAGAAGCAAAAGGTGGTCGATGGGATACAAGATATACACACAATCCTCGCGCAGAGCCATTTAATTTGTAGGGATTTGGTAATAGTATATTGTTATTATTGCTGAAGCGGATAGCTCTATACACCAGCTTTCCTATATTTTTCATTGTCCGCCTTTGTCTCAAGGTTTTTGCAAACTGTTAGAAGAGGGATTTCTCCGTTCTTCCTTGTTTCCGAGTTGATTTGGGAATTTTGTGGTAGAACTGTCAACGGCAGACGGGGGAATATAATAGGTGGGCTTATGGGCTGTACATGTAAAAGAATATTTGGGCTCATATTTCTTTTGGGTCAAGAAATTAAAGCTTCATACAAATTCGTTGGCCGAAGAGAGCAGGCCCTCCCTACAATTGAGGCTGGCAAAGCCTAAATGTGCGCACATGCACTCAGTGAGCTTCACACCTGAAAATAGTATGTGGAAATTACATAATACTAGGGATTTAAATACCACAATTCAAAAATCAGGGCTGAAATTTCATCATTCAAAAATCAGGTATCAATATAATAAATCCCCAACCGATTAAATCAGGGCTAAAGTTTCTCTCTCTACAATCTACCTTTTCTCTCTCGTCTCACTCTATCTATTTTCCCGTTGTCCCTCATTTAACCATCCCGCCAGGAGATGATCGAGACGAGGTGCCACCACCAGAAGAAGTAACACAACGTTGCCATCTGTCGTTGCCCAACGTTGCACTTGTCGCTACGAAGAAAAATTTGGAGACTGTTTTGGGGTTTTTTGGTCGCTGGTAGAAGAGAAAATTTGGGGAGGGAGTTTGGTTTTTTTGGGTGATTTCGTTCTTCTCAATTTGAGATACGTAGTCGGAGCCGCTGTGTAGAGCCATATTCTCGTCTGTAATGGGAAAATCTGGTGGGGGTTTTGGTGTGGTGGAGGTGGAGGTGGAGGTGGAGGTG